TATTGATATGCCCAACCGGGGAATATCCAGAAAGGACCGGGTAGGAATCGATAGGAACGACCACGTCGATTCGTGTAACTCCTTTTGGTGGAGTCTCCGATTTCCGTACAGTGTAAAGTAGAGATAAAGCCTTATTGGGAGCAGCTCGGCCAGGGGGGGGGGGAAGGGGGAGTGTGTCGTGGAGGTCTGTGTGATCTTGTAAAGCCACGAAACGATACCAGCCAACGTTTGTAGAGACTACTTGGCAACTCTTTGATGCAATGAAAGACTTCCACAAGCAGATCCACCAAGCCTCCACAAGCCTGCTCCAGCTTCACAAGAACCCACAGATTCCACCAGAGACCTACGAACTGGAACTGGTGACCCAGCAGAAGGCAATGGTCCCCCCCCCCGTCGAAGTTGCCCAACATTGCAAGACTCAAAACAGGCTTGTAAATCCACATGTGATAGACAAACCTTAGTCTTCTTCAATGCATCAACTTCACTAGCGGAACCTGGACGTTTAACACCACGTGCTTCACCTCCAATGTTGTCGTTCTCCTTCGTGCAAACATCCACATCGGCCATTTTATCTAGTGTTAGTAATCCCAAGTTGATAACTGAAAAATTGTAATTAGAGGGGTGTATGCAAAAGGAATCTTTTTAGATGGTCGGCTAATGCTATGTCAGTCAAGAACATAAGAATGTTTTCAGAGATATTGTTTCATACATTAATTGGTGGCATTAATCGCTCATTTAGTCGTTTAAGAAAGTAAAGGAGAGAATAACTATGACAATGAGAAATACTATGTAAGACTCGCTGAAGGCATTCATCTGGAATAAAACTGCGCAAATTGATGATGAGTGACACTATAGGACTTCACAGCAGAAAACCTTTCCAAAAACGAAAAGAAAGCCTGTGTAGAATACGGTAGCTTCTTCACGTATTATTTATTGTTTTCTACTTTGCTGCCCTAAGAAGTCATCGCACTTCAGTTTGTTACATATGACCTCAAGGAGATTTTAGCTCGACTTAGTTGGAGAGAGAGCAGGGACTGGACACCTGGCCGTTCCCCGCGTTCTTTTTCCTAACCACTGCTTATAGTGCGGTCATATTTAGTGATCTGGTTTCACTTGTAGCGCGACCGAAATACTCGCGTGGAAGTATGAACGCACTTTTACAGCGTGTTTATACTTTGCGATTAGGTCGCTCTAAATCTACGACCGAGGCGCTCCGCCGCAATGGACGAACGGCTTTTCATCTCGAATGTAATCAAACTAGCAGCTGCAGCGGTCCATCGATGAGAGGTGGAGCGCCGTGCGTCGCGCGCGACTAGAGCGACAGAATCGAGAGGTATGAACGCATTCTCACACTTCACGCAGATGGTCAATTTCGCTGAGGGTTTGTCTGGTAACAAAGAGAACGTTTCCTCTGAGCCTACGCCCTATTTAACTGGGAAGAGACAAAGGGACATTGTCGACTGGACCCTAACCAGTCGACAATGCCCCCATAGCGCCCGAATCTACATGCTTCGAAGCCACTTTTGCGCAAAGAATTTAGTCTTCCACCACGAAGCACGCTCCCTCTTTAGGGTACTTCTCCTGACATATTTCTTAGGGCTGCGTTGACGTGGAGCAAAAACTGATGCACTCTTCGTTTTTTGAGGCATCTGGTGTTTGGGTGCTGTTCGTCTATGACGAGGTGGGGGTGGGGAGGCGGAGGGACATGTAAACGTTTCCCTGCAAGACTACGATTTCTGCGACAGGAAGTCTAATTTTTACTCGAACTTTCATCACCTTGGAGCTCCTTCCCTACCTGAGCCTAGGCAGAAACCCTCTTATCATTTGAGGCCAGTTTTGCAAAAAAGCCTTTCCGAAGAAAACTCCCTAAATGCAACCCCCCCCCTAGGCGTACCGCATCATGTTTTCTTTTATGTCGTTACTTCGTACCTCACTTAAAGACGACAGTGACTGCGCTCGCGGTGGAATATTTCTGTTCCAGGACACATGTCATGTCTTTTTTCTTGCACAAGGATTACAATTGTGTCAAATGAAAATATCCCACGAAAAAGGCATCATATACCAGGTTCGAATGAACAACGCGGCCACACCCACCCCGGTTTCGGGTTATTGAGTAGATTTTCAGTAAGCACTGCCTCACGCAAAATCAGCGTTTGGTAGTCAGAAACCAATTCTGACAAGTTCTGAATACGAAGAATGCCATGGAAACTAAACAGAATGAGTTTGTGCATGGTGTCCGTGATGCACATGGTGCAGCACGAGGTCAATAGCACAACATCCATAAAGCCATCTTTCCACAGTAGTATCCAAGGTCAATTTTATGGGATCTGGAAGTCTCCAAACCCTATAAAATCGACACTCGAGATTTTTACGAAGTGACAGCGAAATGATGTTATGCTGTTGACCTCATGCTGCGCCATGCGCATCACGCGATCATGCGGAGGAAACTCGTCTTGTTTGTTTTACTTGGCGCTTCTCATGCTTAAAATACTTGAACGCCTCTTAGGACTCGAATCCACTACTATGCGGGACGGTGTCGGCTAAAAGTATGTTTGAAACTTGTTATTATTTCGAATGTCGCTGAGAATCGTTTAAAACCCTAAAGAGAACCACGCTCAGCACAAAATAGTGGACCACTTTTTGACAGTTTGGCTTAGGTGAAAGCATTATGCTGGTTCGAATTTATTACTATCCGTGCCTCCTGGAAAACTGCTAGGCTGCGTTCATGCTTTGCATTAGCGTACGGCAGCGTTTCGAGTGTAGGTCAGTGCCAGCCCCTAGAGAAGTATAGGTATCGATCTACGAACGCCAGGGTCCACCAGCGTAAGGCAGCGTCTTCTTAAGAATTCTTGAACTTGAACAGAACTGCCCGCAAACCGCTGCTGTCCGCTGGCGTTCGCAGATCGATGTCTATACTTCCCTAGTCTCTCGAGGCGTTGGCGTCTGCCAGATCGATATCTATAGCTTCCTGATCGCAGGCGCTAGCATACGCTCGAAACGCTTACGCTAATGCAAATGGATGCAGGCTGCGTGTACTTTAGGATCACGGTGGCGCGTGGCGCCAAATTAGTGCGATGGCGCTGACGGTGGACGGATATAATTAGGCTTCAGCGCTTCTTCCTGAGCTTGGAGACGATAATTTCCTTCTTATTAAACAGCTGTGTGTTTCTACTGCTTGAACTAAGAAGTTCCGAGAGGAAGAATTAACTTAGATTGGAATTTATGCTTTTTGCAAAGGTATACATTAGGCAGAGGCGAAAAAGTGGTTATCAGGTCTTACGTATGATCATGAAATCAACATTAAGCACACCTTGAAGACAATAGGAACGTTTACCTTGTAAACGGTGCTCCCTTCTAATATCTATTGCAGCACAAATTTGGGAAAAACCGGGTTCCATTTCGAAGCGTCTTGCCCCCTGTGGCCACGCCACACCGGGTATCTTATGTCACGTAGCAAGTATGAGCACAGCCTGAAGCGATTGGAACAGCAGGATCTTCCGTTTACACCTGACAAGAGTCTAGCGATGTCTGAGAGGTGAATTCAACAGGAACTAGCAAAAGAAACCGGCGAAGTAGAAAAATCCCCCTCCCAACGCCTTTCTCACTTATAAATGTGCAGGCGGCCTCAATAACTTTTAAAAAATGAACAAAATCTTTTCAGCCCTCAACAATGGCGTGCAGTATGCGTGGAAAGCAATGAAATAAATGGTGAATGTTTTGATTATTCTATTTGTAGCTCCAAATCCAGAGAAAAGACTTGAAAACCGGCAGAACAAAAAGTTAGACAGATTGTTGATTAGCATAGCATAACGGAAGTCACTTACACCATTAAAATATTCCACTAGATAAACAAGAATGTTAAAAAGGTATTCAAATAGACTCACTCTACGTGACTAAGCTATAAACAAAGTGATATACTTGAAAACAAACTCATTTATGAGCCAGAGATGTGACGCAAATGCGTATTAGTATTCCAACTACACTGTGAATTAAACAGACAGCCCACATATTCAAAAGTAGCATCAAAGTAGGAAGTCTATAGATCTAAAAGTCCCGGATACTGTTAGCGTCCCTTGGTGAATTCTTCTCAGGACACTACGAAGTGGTGATTTCTTCTCAGGACCGCTATGAACTCCACAGGTCCACACAGGACCTAGCACTTGACCGGCCTTAGTGCTACGCAAAATTTCCTGGGAACTATAAGAACCGCTTTCCGACACCAGCTTCCTTTTTGCTCAAAACGCCCACGAGACTCTTGACCCATGCGGCTTAATTTATAAGTAAGTCGTACCCTCCCCAGTTATTTTTGGTACTATAGATAATACTTCTACACATTTTTAAGGTAACATGAAAATTAAGAAACAGGCGGTGCGAAATATAGTGGAGTCATGGTAATGGCACGATTTACTTCAGATATATTTTTTCTGCTTAGGCATGCTTATCCCACCTTTTCAACGAATTCGGAATTGCAGAGGCAGAAGAACTTATAAAAAAATAAGGGAAAGCAGCACAGGAAAGTGTTCTTACATACTAGCAAACCTCAGGTATGCGCAAACTGTCAGCACGCCCGATGGTTTCGTCTCAGGACCACCTCGAATTCCACAGTTCCACACAGGACCCCTTTCTTCCTTAAGGGTTTTGCGCCACACCAAATTACTGCGAACCGTTCTCTAGCGTTGGCGTTTTTTTTTGCCCAGGACCCTCTTGCCCATAAGTCTGAACCTTATCGTGCCTCAAATTTCTCTGTTTTCACTAGCACTAGAGTAATTAATCTTCTATTTAAAAATACAAAAAAATAAGTACCATAAGGTTCAGAACATGCTGGGATACTGGCAGTATTTGGATCCACTTAAAATTATTCACTTCATTATTTCCCGCTTAGGAAGCCCCTCCCCCTCCCACGCCCACGCCAAGAGAATGCTCATAAATACCGGAAAACCTCAGGCATACGATCACTGTCAGCGCCCACGATTTCGTCTCAAGACCACTCCGAATTCCAGTATTCCACATAGGAACTCCCCTTACCTTTTAGGAGCTTTCTTGTCACGCCAAATTATCCGAGAACTTTGTGTTATCTGCTACTGGGCTTGTTCGTTAAGAAATATCCTAGGGACTCGTAACTAATAACGGTCAATTCGTGAATACCTAGCGACTTATCGACTTTTTTCATTCATACTGAGATGATTTTGTTTTTTTCCGAGGAAATAGGTGCACAATCCATATAAAAACACTAAAAAACGATGTCAAACATACTGGAGTGGCGAGGTACCACGTTCATGAGCAAAAAAGATAAAGGTAAAAATATCCTGCTGTTCAGGCAGTGCAAAAATAGGCTACTGGTTCTGGGGGTGTAGTCTGACGCGGGTTGAAATGAAGCTAGAAGCCCATAAATTTCTGTTTCATATTTGACCCATCGACTTCCGTTTAACGTCTTCATTACCCAAAAGCTCAAAAAAGCCTGAAGCTCTAAAAAAGCATTAGGGGCTCTATAAACGGACGGAAAGACTGAAAAGTAGTAGGTTGACCAAGTGGGCCAAGCCAGGCAACGGTGAGGTGTGAAGGACGCC